AAAAAGGAAGGAAGGATTAAGTATACAATCTGTTTTTGAAAAAGGAAGAATTAAATCAGATTATCAATGGTTCAATTGCTGTAGTTGCTGCAGGTTTGACATGGACAGAGGACTAGTGCTGAAGGAAGAAGATGTACTTTGCTTCCTCCTGCCACACTCTGACTTTATGAATCTCCTGAAGCTTCTGTTACCATCAATATTTTATTACCTGAGTGATGGAATAAAAATGTGTCCGATAAGGCTGTTTGTCTCACTGAGGCTATAAGGTTGAAACTGAGTTCATGGGGAAAGATTTTTCTGCTTCTCTCCATCCTACTTTGTGTTTTGTTTATTATTCATTTCATTTAGTTAATTTTTAGGCTGCCACTCATAAAACAAGTCTATGACTGGGTCTTCTGTAAGTACCAGCACCAGGAGCCTTAATCCCTATAATCTATTTTACCCTCTGGCCCTGAAAGCTCTTGGCAAGTAATCTCAGTTCAGACCTCTAGCCAAATCTAGAGTAGAAGGAGAAAGACGATGGAGAGAGGTAGGGCAAGGCAGGGCAGGGGAGAGAAATAGAGGTTGGGAATAATTAAGAAAAGCCTGTTATGTTAATTAATTAGCCCCCCCCCCCCCAATATAACAAGGGGAATGGACTTCACAGAGATTAGACTATTTGCTTGGCAAAATCCAAGAAGACTCTTTGGAATAATTCCATACCCTTCAACATTTCACAGTTGAACACCGGGACACATGACACCAAGCAACATTAAAGTGTGGTTAAATGGGCAAAAGTTATTAATGAGGAAGAACACACAAATTGGGAAAGGCTGCAGCAGTTAGCTTTTGCCTAATCGAACTGAGAAGTGCAAGATTCTACCCCGTCCTTTCCTTTCTTGTTGAGTTAACTACATTTGCACCTTGAACTCAGGTCTGCAGCAATTGAGGGAGGCTGAGGACAACAGGGAAAAGTGGGAGGAGGAAAGAGAAACGAACATTTTAAAAGCAGCTGAGAATGAAGGGGGGAAGAGAGAGAAACTGGGACATTTTAAAAGCAGCTGAGAACAAAGGTGGGAAATGGGAGGAAGAGAGAGAAACTGGGACATTTTAAAAGCAGCTGAAAAAACTGGGACAAGAGAGTAATAATGAGGACTATTCCTGCCAAATTGTGGCAATTGGACAGTATAGAATTAAACCAAGAACCAGTCTGGCATAGTTGTTTGAGCGCTGAACTACAACTCTGGAGATCAGGGTTCAATTCCGTTCGGTTATGGAAACTCACTGGGTGACCTTGGTCAAATCACACACTCTCAGCCCCAGAAAACTCTGTGATAGTGTGGCCTTAGGACGTTATCACACGGGGGCAAGTCTGCTGGTTAATCCACACAAAT